TGTGAAGAAGGCTGGTATTATTTTGATAGGGATTGCATTGAATATGTAGATTGCCTTGGATAGTATCAACATTTTAACAATATTTGTTCTTCCTATCCAGGAGCATGGAATCTTTTTCCATTTTTTTGTGTTTTCTTCAATTTCTTTCATAAGCTTTCTATAGTTTTCAGTACATAGATTTTTCACTCTTTGGTTAGATTTATTCCTAGGTATTTTATGGTTTTTGATGCAACTGTAAATGGGATCGATTCTTTGATTACTCTTTCTGTTGCTTCATTGTTAGTGAATAGGAATGCAACTGATTTCTGTGCATTGATTTTATATCCTGCAACTTTGCTGAGGAATTAACACTTTTTTAAACTTGGGCTTAGAGGAAGCAATATATTAGGCAGTATATCTTAGAGGACAAATCCCAAAGAGCAGCTAGCTTGGAACACAGAGGCTGTAGCCACAGAAAATCTTCCATCTTGATACATGCTTAGGGAAGTTAGGCCCTTGGTTCCAAATCTTGTTTTAACCATACCACATACCCAAACTCTAAACCATTTGTTCATATCATCTTTAAAACAACAAAATATAAAATAAGTAAGGACCAGTTGTAAGTCTTCACCTTACCCTTAATGGAATGCTTTCTATCATCTCCACAGCACCCTGTATAAACTTATCAAAGTGGATTATAATTAGCTATTTTTCCTGTCATACTAATAGATTCAGAGTTCACTGAGAACAGGAACAGAGCATAGAGCCATTTTATCTGAGTGCCCAACACAAAACTGCACATAGCAGGTGTTCATTAATGAATGAATAAAATGCCACATTTAAGTCATTTGGAGCCATGCTGGTCTTTTAAATCCTGACTGCATGTTGTCTGGTAGAGTACAGACTCACCTAGCATAAAAAAGTTGCAATATAAATTAGGCCTGAAAAAAACAGATTCAGGTTAATTTGCTTTGAGCTCATGTTTATCAAAGAATAATAATCTTTGTTACTATTCTCTGGAGGTTTCAGTGAAGAACCATAAAAAGTTTATCAGCAAACACAGCCTATAACTGAATGATAAATGCAGTGTTACAGCCTTAGATTTTCTCCACTTCCATGCTGCCTCCTCTGCTTGTCTTGTGGATCCTCAGTTCCTCTCCTTTTCCACTCCAAACCCATTTACATCTTTGTGTGATTTTAAAGTGTTACCTACTCTAGGGATCCTTGCATTTCAGCGTTAGCTCTTTAATCAGGGTGGGAAGAGTTCTAAATTTGTTAAAGGAGGTTTAAGAGCTCTCAAAGATCTGGTGCTCTGGGTAATCTGACACCCAGATTCTGGTTTTCTTGCCAATGGATAGGGTCCTGTCTGATTAGCAGTGATGCTCTGAGGCCCTGCCTTCTCCCATGCAATGTGCACCTCACTTCTCTAAGCTTTTCTTCTTTGCTATAGCATCAAGGCTTTGACCACACACATGTATATCAATCTAAATGAGCTGACCTTGATCATTTGAGAGAGATAATTCTAAATACTTACCCCAAACACTTCAAAGTTTGTTCCTGTAATGTTTTTAATAATTACTAAGTAAAAGTGATAGTTTATAAATAACTAGTGGAAGTCAACAATTTCCTGTCCCTAATAGGCAGGAATATTCCTAAACAGGCATTTCTGAATATATCGGCAGAGCAGGGCATGCAAAAGACCTCAAAAGTCACCTTTTAATCCAATTCAGATACGTATTTAACTGCATACAAGATAAACTCAGATGTTACTTTATAATTACTTTGAAACCCAGCAAACCAAAAGTGTAGAATTACTTCAGACCTCAAATGATAAGGCAAGAGAAAAAGGGAAGTAATTATTACCAATAAATATTTACAAGGTTTCTTTAATAGTTAATGTAAGGGAAAATTATCAAATCCAATGTAAAGATTAATTTTACACATAAGTACTAAAATTAAGGTTAATTCATTATTCAAGTGCTCAGTCTAGGTCAGTAATAGACTTTAGAAGGGAGTAAGAATCAACAAGACTTATGAATATAATGTATATACATACAATTTAGGTTTTTTTTTTTGTTTGTGTGTGTGTGTGTTTAGTTAATAATGTCTGATAAAGTAGGTTTTTCAACTTAATTAGAAAGGCTTTTAGATTAATGACCCTATTTCAGAATTGGGCTTTAACTATGCCACCTGACTGTAAACTAAGTCTAATAATCATGCTCTAGCACCTCCACAAAGTCAACAAAGAAGCAGAATCACTTACTTTCACCAGCTCCTGCTGAGCCCAAATCTGAATGGGCTCTACCTGTTGAGGTGTTTGGGTCTGAATACCATACGTGTTGAGGAAAACTTGAAGGCTAAAGAAAATAGGGAAAAAATGAGAGACATTTTTAGGCAATGCATGTAAAGTGTGGAGAATGGTGGAGGAGAAAGAGGAGGAGAGAGATGAGACTACACTAGCTTGGAGAACGTTTTCATTTATTAACACGAGCAATATGCCATCTGCCCTGGGCTCCAGAGGCCCTCTTGGGTTCTTCACAAGGTATTAGATGGGAGCTCTGAGGGCTGGAAGAAAGAGTAAGCACTGATTTTGGGAATCTCCATTATTTGTTGCACTAACTTCTCAAAACTACACCCTAGACAACACTGGCACAGGTCACAGTCTTTAATATTCACATCAACTAAAACAAAGTTATTTTTAATCATGAAAAGATTGTTGTTCTGGCACTTAAAGTAACATTAATGACAGACATCCTTGAAACCCTGTCAAGGGGTTTGTGAAATTAATCTCTCCCAAGAGACTCAATATTGCAACATAAAGCAATAAGCCCCCCAACCCCCCACTTCCCAAAGGAACACACCACCCATCTGGGTTTCATACCGTTGACTTTCTGCTATGAGTGCTACGTGAACTACCAAATCATTTTCCAGTGGGCCCTGTAATACAGAATAAGGGGTGGGGGGGACATTTTAAAAGATCCAGTCATCATCAGATACAATGAGAATCAAGGACAATATTAACCATCTCTAAGCAGTTCATTAAAATGATGAACACCTACTGGCTCCATGCAGTCACCTCTCTTTCCTTGCTCTCCACTACCTACTAATCAATTTGATGGTGTAGACAGAGTAATGGAACACCAAGGAACGGAAAGCCATAAATCTCACCGCTACCAGAGGCGCTAGCCTGTCAGGACTATTTTGAATGATGCATAAGAGTAGTCTGGGGACTGAGAGTCATTTTCCATCATTTAACTCTGGAGGGAAAGGGAGGAACTAAAAATAAAAACCCAGCTTACGTATTCTCTATTAAATATGATCGTGAGTTAAACTGTTCATTTGGTATCTTAATCACATATAAGGCTATTCTCTTTCTTGTTAGCCAATTTTCCTTTGGCACCTATACATCAAAATAGCTTTATTCTAATATATAATTCCTATACTAGAGAATGAACTACCCAGTTGACTATGTAATTAACACTTTATTCAATAAATACAAGCTGTTGGGCTTAATAGTTCTAATCAAAGATAGTGTTGGATATTTGCTACTCCTTCTTGTGTGTGTATGGAAAAGATTCACTATAGCATATATTATACATGGCTAAAATGAACCCAATTTTGAGCATGTATTAATTAACAGAGAACATTAAGAAGCATCAATAAATTACAGTATTAGGAAGCTCTGAAAATACTGATCAAATATAATTCCTTTATAGTAATGAATCCAACATTCCCAATAGTATGCTGTAAAATGTTTGATTTACCATCAGTCAGTTACCCTCTATGGTATTCAATATGTCACTAGAATTTATGTATGATGGAAAGCAAGAAACACCAGAATACATATATCAGCAGTAAATATCCTACAATCAAAAGGATGGTTCCCAGAATCATCGTGAAAATGCATTTCAGGCAGACTTCCATATGATTTAAATGAATATATAGGAGAAAATGAGATATAACAACCCAACAAAAATAAATATACATTAAAAATGCCATAAATTCTATTTTTATTTGATAAAGACCTTAAAAGTTAATGTTACTCAGAAGAATGAGAAAAAATTAATTATTCAGAATCTCATCAAGATTTCTAACACATTAAGTCTTATTTCTCTCAGATGAAATCTAGTATTTACTTCATCAAAAGGAGTAACCTTAGAGTGGGCAATTATCTATAATCTTCAAGACAATTAGAGATTCTTAAATAAAAAACAAATGAATACATATACAAGAATGCGGATGATATTTCAGTAACAATAAATAAGGCAGCTTACAGATCCTAATTGGCAAATTGGTATCTTCTTTTTGAATCACAAACCTGTTTAGGATAATGTTGTTTCCATTTGTATGACAGAGTACTTAGATCTAAAATTCTCCCTACACATGTTGAATCATAATGAGTATTTGGTTAGGGGACTATATTTGGTTGAAGAATTTTTTCATTGTAAAAACTCAGCATTTCAGAAATTTCTAATTCACAAACCTTCTATGCTGATCTTAGGCCTTCAACCACAGCCCAAGTGGGACCTTTCACCTCATTTCTACCCACAGACAGAATTCAGCATGTACAATCCCAACCCAGTAATTCTCTTCCTTTCATTGCCAAAGTTGGAACCATCTTTTCTGTTTTCACCATTTTCTTCAAAGCACCAGCATTGTTGTCTAAACTAATGAAGTCTCTCTGAAAACATCCTAATAGGAGTTGTTAAATTCTATTTCTGAATGGTATTTCCCTTAATATTACTATAATATTTTCTGCTTTTAGGTTTGTGAAGTGTACACATATACATATGCATACAGATACTGAAGGCCTGTATGGTACTGGTATTCTCTATTTTACCTATATTTATGTACTCATCAAGGCATTCTAATATACAAGGCCTCATGTTAGGGCCTGATGTTGCAAGAGAAAAACAACCCAGTGTCCCTCCATGAGGAGTTTAGAGTGTACTGGGACATATGTACAACAGGTATTTATTATCACATAAAAGTATTTCACTGATAGCTTCCTTTGGTAGTATAGATCTACCTTATTTTTGAAAAAAATCGCTGTAGGACATTACATTATATGGACATACCATAATTTATTTAAGGAATGTTTATTTTGGTGGACATTTAGGTGGTTTCCAATATTTCACTTCTGCAGAGAATAATATAATAATTGTCCTTATCTTGGAGAATTGCTAAGGATTTAGGGAGAGAACAAACTGCTAAGCACATTATTTGACACATAACAAAAATAAAGGGCACTAATACTTGCTGCAGTTGTACTTATTATTTTCACAGCTATCCTAGGACAGCTGCTCCTCTCTTTCTTGTTGAGATTTGCTGTAATACCTGTGTCAAATTAAATCTCATTGGCTTCCATCATTCTAACACATTAGGAGCATCCATTATCCCATTTTTGTACGGCTAGTTCTTCTCCAAAGAATTCCAAACATCTTTTAAAAGAAATCCTCAGGTGACTTACCACTTTCCAATTTTTTCTTTTATTTCTCAAACATAGACTACAGCTATTTTCTTACCTTTCTTGCCTCTATAATTCTGCACTTTGCCTTCCAACATACTTTGCCTTTAGAGACGGAAATCCTTACACTTAAGTCCTTGGTTTTCTACTCATTGCACTTCTCTTTCCTTGTTTCTCTCACCAAACTCAATCACTCTGTAGCTTTAGTTACCACCTCTAGGCAGATGATTTCATATTTATATTTCTAGTCTTAAACTTTCTCTGAGTTCCAGTGCCCATATTTTTAAGTGCTTTCTGGACATTTTCTCTTGGCTATTTCCAAAGGTAAAAATTCTAAAATTCAACTCCTCACTAACCCTATCTCCACCCCAAACAAGCTCACTTCCAGCTCAGAATGTCAGAATCATCTTTGACTCCTGATTATTAGCCTCCATATCCAATTTGTCACCAAAATCCTGTTAAATCTTTTCTTCATAAAGTGTCTTGAACATTCTTTTCTTTTCCTTTCTATAGCGATATGCAGGATTGGAAAGTACCAACAATAGCAACAAACACTTTATGTAACATTTGACATTCTATGTGTAGGGTATGGTACTAACAAACCATTATTTTATAATAACAAACCATTATTTCCATTTTCCAGGTAATAAAACCGACACAAAGAAAGCTTAAGTAACCTATCCAGCAAACAGCAAACAACAGGGCTAGAATTTAGATTCAGGATCTTATGGAGAAGATGGCGCCATAGGAGGACGTTAGGCTCACTGCGTCCTACTGATCACTTAGATTCTACCCACATCTGCCTAAATATGTGAAAACTTTTTACCGAAGATAGCAAGATGGACTCTCTGAATAGCGTAAACAAGAGGAGCCAATGGAGGGCGGAAGGAGTGGAGGGGGTGGATTGCCTTTTTGGCGCTAGTGGGACTGGCGGGAGGAGCTGGGGTGGGGTGGTGGCCCCCAGCCCTGAAAGCAAGGCCCCTGAGTCTGACACCAAGTGGAGGGGCCGGACGGAGTGAGTTCTGACAGCCAGAGGGACTTAACATCTGGAATGTTATAAGTCAACAGTTCTGCTTGGACAGCAGGAGGGCAAGAGGACATCTGGAGGGAGAGGTGTTGAGCCCTGGAAGACAGAGCTCAGCTCGGCAGGGAACAAAGGAGCTGGCCAGGGCCATCTCCCTCTCCCATCCCATAGATGAAATCCCAAAAGGAACCAGCTCCCATCACCGAACTTACTTGCATAGCGCAAACACCCAACGCTGTGCTTCTCTGGACCCATCCCTCCCATGGGTCTGCCTGCCTGCCTCCCTCCTGGTGCTGCAGGGCCTCTCCGGCAGGGGACTACTTATGGCAAAGCCAGCTAAGCCTGCCCCTCCCACCCCTGTGCACCTTGCGGATCCACCCTGGCTAACACGCCAGATCCCATCAAGGCAGCACCATAAGCCTGGGAGTGTGCAAGTAGCCCAGACAGGGGCCACACCACTCCACAGTGAGTCCTGCCCCTGGGAGAGGGTAAGATAAGGTAAACACCAGTCTGACTGTGGCCTCAGTGGTGGGCAGGGGACAGACATCAGGTCTGACTGCGGCCCTGCCCACCAAAACAAGTTACTCCAGACAGCACAGGAAGTGCCCTGCAGTTCCATGCCACTCCAGGGACTATTCTAAATGATGAAATGGAAGAATTCTGCTGAAAAGAAACTCCAGGAAGTAGCGACAGCTAATGAATTGATCAAAAACAATTTAAGCAATATAACAGAACAAGAATTGAGAATAATAGTCATAAAATTAATCACTGGGCTTGAAAAAAGTATAGAGGACAACAGAGAATCTATTGCTACAGAGATCAGGGGAGTAAGAAACACTCATGAGGAGCTAAAAAATAAAAATAAATGAGGTGCTATAAATGAGGTGCAAAATAAAATGGAGGCGACCACAACTTGGATTGAAGAGGCAGAGAGGAGAATAGGTGAATTAGAACATAAAATTATGGAAAAAAGAGGAAGCTGAGAAAAAGAGAGATAAAAAAATCCAGCAGTATGAGGGGAGAATTAGAGAACTAAGTGATGCAATCAAAAGGAACAATATCCGTATAATAGGAATTCCAGAAGAGGAAGAGAGAGAGAAAGGGGCTGAAGGTGTATTTGAACAAATCATGGCTGAGAACTTCCCTGATATGGGGAATGAAACAGGCATTGAAATCCAAGAGGCACAGAGAATTCCCTTCAG